CCGCCGGCCAGCAGCTGAGGCCTGTCTGGCAGGACATATTTGGGTGATGAAGCCATGCTGTGTGCTAAACTCGGCACAGGAAAGAGCAGTTCAACTTGGATGCCCACCAAAGGCTGCCAGGGTTGGCTCCTGCCCATGAGTTGGGCAACAAGGCTGTCTGGCAGGGGATAAGGGCAGTGCTTTCAGACTGAAGGGGCTAGGCTGGCCTGGGAGAGCACTGCTCCAGGGCAGGATGCCCCGAACCCGGGGCTGGGCGGGGCCCAACGAATGTAGGTACTGAGAGAACTCTGGCCTTCGAGCCAGGACACCTGGACTCAGCCCCAGCTCCCCGGCCAGCTCTTCGCTGCGGACCCCAGGCACATTCTTTATCTTCTTCTCTATGCCTCAGCTTCTCCTTGTTAAAGTGTCTCCTTGCTTGCCTCAGGAAACATGTGGAACATACAAGGTACCAAAAGAAGTACCCAGTCCCCTTAAGCCTTAGTTTCCGCATCCATAAAATGGGACAGCATGACACCTCCCTCACAGAGCTGAGGTGAGGATAGATATGCAGCGCCTGGCACAGAATGGGGGCCACAGCACCATTACCCAGCTCTCATATGATTAGTATTGCACTGGGGCAGCCATTTTAACTTTTTAGTTTTCTAATATACCTTCTTCACATGGTTGGTATGAAAATTAAATTCAGAAAATAAGGCTCAGAAAGTAGCTTATGTAAGTTGGCATAACTAAGAGGTGGTAGATTTGTGTTCTGAATTTAGATCTGACTCTGAAGCCCACATTCCATCTATAGTACCAGTATCCATGCACCACCCACTGGCTCTCAGACCCTGCTGGTGGTAGTGTGTGTGCAGCTTAGAGCTGGCCTGGAGAAGTGGGACATGCCAAGAGACACAGGCCCTGGTGGCCCACTGCACTTCAGCTCTTTTATGTTGATGGCAGCATTTCCAAAAAGGCCAAACTTTTAGGAGAAAAGACAAAGGCAGAAGCTAAGGAAGGCCTGGCCTGAGCATCCAGTGAGTGGTGTTCAGGCCCTGAAGAGATGACCACAGTTCCCAGGCCCTGGCCTGGCCTGGCCAGGTATCTTCTCAACCACACGGGGTCCCTGGTCCTTCTCAGGCTGTCCTATGTGCTCCTGCAGTACAGAGTGGAGGCTCAGACTGGGATAAAACGTACATGGATTTTAATCTCGATTCTGTCACTGACTTTCTATAAGAGTTTGGATAAGTGCTTTTATATATGGGGACCTGAGTGTCCCTTCTGGAAAACAGAAGTGCCATGTCAACTGATCTGTGTGGGTATTCTTCTCACAGAAGGATTTTTTTGCTCCTATACACTTTCAGGCCGTGGGATGACAGACTCCTCTCAGCTTTGTGCTTCATTTTGTTCCTTTAACATCTCTTTTTGAAAAAAATAGACCATCCCCCTTCCTCTATTAACATCTCTGGGACACACAGCTGGGGCATAAACAATGCAAGTACAATAGTTGTGAAGCTCAGATAAATCTGCAGCTCTTCATCTCCACTTGGAGGAGGACAAACCGAGGCTCTCGCCAAGCCCAGTGAACACGAGAGCCTGCAACTCCCAGAGAAATAAACACGCTTCAGAGCAAGAGGGGAGCCAACGGAAGTCAGTAAGCTCAGAGGGACTGGAGAGATGCTTGGATCTTTAGGCAGAGGATTAACTCATTTGGGGGAAGCCATGGGTTGCAAGATCTCAACCTGGTCTTGATAAATGAAAAGCTGTCTATGAAATGTCTTAAGTTCTATTCCAAACCTGCCACCATCCAATGCTTCCTCTTTCCTTCTGAAGAGCTATGACCCAGGTCTCTTGATTTATTCAAATTCCCCCTACACCCTCTGCCCCAGCACAGAGCAGGCAGAAGGTACTCAGTAGAAGCTCATCCATGATCCTAGCCATTGCTAAGGATTCCATAATCACCCGATCCAGTCCCATTCTAAGTTGGTGGCAGGTGTCCACTTTGGCTAAACACATGTACTTTCCAGCCCTTGGATTCCAGGAAGGATGGTCAGCTCATATGGGATTCATCCCATTCACAGATCCTCTGGGTGTGGCTTTAGATAAGTGAGTATGTGGTGGAATGTATCAACATTCAGGGACCTCAGAGACACCCTGATCTAATCAACTTATAAATGAATACATGTCTGTTTATTAATCTGCAGATGGTGTCTTTCTGATCTCCCAACCACTGGGCGTGGGGAACTCAGAGGAGCTGAGACAGAAGGAAAAGATATGTGAGAATGGAATGAATATTAGTTTACAAAAACATTAGTCACTGGATGGGGAAAAAAGGTCAAAGACAGAAAACAAATTTAACCCTTGGTATTATCATAAAAATAACACTAAGATTTTCTAGTTTTACATACTTTCCTAGAATCGAATTTCATGTCATTTACAACAGCCTCATCAAATAAGCCTTTTTATGCCCATATATATGGGGAAACTGAGGCAATGACCAATTAGGTGGCTTGTTTCCGATATCTTGTTAACAAAATCACTAAAAGCCAATACACTTTTGAAATCGTAGAAGGTAATCAACTTCACCAGTTTTATTCCAGAGTGAAGATGATGTAAGAACAATTCTAAAAGATTGATTATGAATTATTAAACTTTCTCCCAGTGTCTTCATAGGAGATTAAAAACCTTTGCTTTATACAACTAAACCCATGGCAGTTTATCTTTGAAAGGCCTTTGCCTCTTTCTAATTTTACATTACATAGTTCAGCCCTCTGGTTCTAATCTCTGTCCTTCTCTTTTCTCATTTTATATACTCTTTCTAAGCGGACTCATTCACTCGGTGACTTTAAGTGTATCTCTCAATTGTTCATCTCTAGCACGGATTCTTCTCCTAAGGTTCACACCTGCATAGTCTCCCGTGGGGGTTTGGCTTGAGTGGCCCAATAGCACTTAAATCAAGCATGGCAGTTTCTCTTCCCCGGGAGGGAGGGAGGGAGGGAGGGAGGGCATGTAATGTCTGTCTTTGCAGTGTCAGCTCTGTGAGATGACGGACCATGTCACGTTCACTACTGTATCTGTAGTAGCCAGCCCAGGGCCTGCTCATAGAAGGCACTCACTAAATAAGTGCATTCATAGTAGCAGCAATATAGAAAGTATCTAGGCATTAATTAAACCAAGAATACAACAGATCTATGTAGAGGAGTATAACACGAACATAGGACATAGAAGATGATCTGAATAAGTAGACATTCTTGCTCATGGGTAGGCTGACAATATTAAAAAGTATCTCTTCTCTGAAATCAATATAAACATTTAATACAAGACCAATCAAAATTTTTTGAGAATTCAATACACTTACTCTTAAACGCACATGGAGGAAAACAAATGCATCTGACCTAAAACATTTAAGCATTAAAAGAGAAAAATAACGAGAGATGAACTTACTTTTCTGAATGTTGACACACGACGAAACCATGGTAATAAACACAGCATAGCATTGGCACAAGAACACATAGACCAACACGCCATCAGTACGGCATAGAGCGCTCAGAGACGCGTACACTCACACATGTGCTGTGCTGGGTAATCTGTGTTTGCTCTCCAGATCCTTTCTCCCCCTTCTCTACTCTACTCTTGCTCTAAGAGACTGGCCTCTCTGCACTGCCTTAACCATACTCCCTTGCCCTGTGATTCCCAGTTGAGTTTGGCCATTGAAAGGCACTGGAGGGAGGTTGGAGGGGAAGAAGAGACAGAGGAGAGTTATGCACTAGCTCTCTCCCTGCCACGCTGCAGGGAGGCCCAGGCTGCATTCTTCCTCTAAAGACCAGGACACCAGCTGCAGTTTACTCTGGGTTTTGATAGTCACTCCCTTCCCTTGCTCCTTCATGCCTGCAGGCTGGGAGCTGGAGGGTGGGGGCAGAAGACCTGTTCACCACGGTTGCTACCTGAGTGTCCCACCTACCCTTGTTGGTTTCCTTAACCTACTAGTCCTTCACTAGGCTCAGTTTCTCCATTTGGGCTTGCTAGGACCTTCACAGATACAGGTAGGTAGGTAGGTAGATAGATAGATAGATAGATAGATAGATAGATAGATAGATAGATAGATAGATAGATAGATAGATAGATAGATAGATAGATAGATAGATAGATGGATAGATAGACAGATGAGTAACAATATAAGGTTAATAGAATAATAATGATAAAGTTAGTAGGAGAATGAAAAAATAAAAAGTTAATAAAATATCTTAAAGAATATCTTTATGACTTAGATATGGGGAATAATTTCTCACACAAAACATTAAAATATAAGGAAATAAGTAATAAGGGAAAAAATGGAATTTGATCCCATTACTACAAAGAGATTTCTTTTCAATGAAGGGCACTATGGAAAGAATTAACAAATAAATAAAAGACTTCTAGATGTCTAAAATGGACAAAAGACATTCTAAAAGGTACTAGGAACTCTCGCAGATCAACAAGAAGACAGAAGTCAAGAGGAAAGTAAGCAAACCATATGCATAGGCAATCTTCAGAAGAGGAAACACAAAAAACACAAAAAGTATAAGGAGAGTTGTTCAGAAGCATTACTAATTGGAAAGACTCCACTTAAACCACAGTAAGTTGTCACCTTACATAATTTATACCAATAAAAATTAGAAAGCTGGGTAATGCCAAGATTTGCCCTTCGACTGGCAAGATTATGAAGTGGTGGAAACATTCTGGAGAACAGTCCCCATCACTTAGTCAAATTAAGTATATGCATATTTTATAATTCAGCTGTTGAGCTCCTGGGTATGCATCCCCCGAACAGCTAATCCTGGTTTAGAAGAGAATATGTACAAGGAGGTTCATTGCTGCATGACTTGTAGAGTCAGGGAGTTGCAGACAACCTGGAAGATCATCACTCAGACAGGGAATAGGTAAAATGTATCAGATACCACCATTGTATATTATGCAGCTCAGAAGAAATATAAATTGATTAGAAGGGCATACTCTTTGTTGCAGAAAATAAGAACAGAATCAGATTAATAACACAATCCATTTATATGAATTAAAAATACATGCATACAAAACAGTAGCATATATTTGCAGGAACACGTACACATGAAAAATACACATTACATTACCAATAACATGAATGAGAGGGGGGATATCATTACAGATCCATATGGTCATTTTGATAGATACAGAAAATGTGAGGTTATGGGAAACAAGAGCAAAATCCAATTGTATTTTATATACTTGAGTAGTACAGTCATAAATTGAAAAATTTTAAATGCTATTTATAAGAGCACCAGCAATTATGAAATACTTAGGAAAAAATTTACAAAAGGTGTGCAGGTTATACACACAGAAAACCTCAAAATATTGCTGGGAGAAGTTAAAGAAAATTTAATGAAAGATAACCCACTCTTATGGGTCATAACACTGTATTATTAAGATGTAAATTCTCCCTTGATTGATCTGAATAGTCATTGCAATCTCAGTCAAAATCTCTACATGCTTTTGTGCAAAAATTGACCAACTGATTCTAAAATTTGTATGAAAATGCAAATGACATGAATTTGAAAATGAAGAACAAAATTGGAAAACTTACACCACCTAGTTGGATGAATGAATTAGAAAATCAATGAATGAAAAGCTGTAGAACTTTGATGCCATTTCTAGACACAAGCAAGTTTTAAAATGATGATCAGGAGAGTAGAAAGAAGCAAAATCTCTTATATAAGGAATAGAAGAAAGAACCATAAGACATAAGATAACCTGGTCCCTGTGAATCTATGAATAGCTGTCATGAAGAAAATGGAGACTTGCTCTATGTGATCCCAAGGGTAGGAACCAGCAATTAGTGATTATAAGGCACATGTAGGCAGATTGTAGGCTCAATATATAGAAGTTTCTAAATGTTAAGAGTTGCTTAAAAGCGGAGTTGGCTCCCTCAGATAGTAGTGATCTTCTTGTCATTAAATGTCATAAGTAGCATCCACATAAAGGGATTCAAACACAAAATGTGAGAACTAGAGGATCCAGCTCAAATTGTGAACTGAGAAAAACACAGGTTTGAATGAGGATATGATGAGTTTAAGAGGAAAGCAGGGCATTCAAGTAGAGGAGAGGCCACACGTATCTGGAGATACAGATTGGAAGGTCATCATGAAGACTTCAGCAGCTGAAGACAGCAAGCCAGCTGACTCCCCACTAGCAGATTCAGTAAGCACAGGCCCAGCAAGCCTAAGTATTTAGGGAAGCGTGCTGGTGGCCATCAGAGCCGCTGCCAGCCTGTACAGTGCTTCTTGGCCTCAAACACAGACACAGCCCCTTGCCACTGGCTGGAGTTCACTGCCTGCTCACCTCCTCAGCAGAGCACTGTGTGCAAGGCTCGACCTGCCCAAATGCTCAGTGCAGTGGCCCTGGATGCCACCACGCAGTAGATGCTCTGACTTCTTCCATAGGGCACCTGTGTTGCAGATGACAGTGTTCTTTTATAACTTTTTAGAAGAACATGAAAACATTTATTCTGGGAGTGGAGATACTTTAGAGGTCACTTATTAGCATTATTACTAATGATCATAAAAGTAATATTCCTGGCCTTATACAGTACAGAGTGGTTTCACACCCATCACCTTGATCCCACAACAAACCTATGAGCTGTGCATTACTACTGTTCTCACTTCACAGATGAGGAAACTGAGGTCTGGAGGGCTTAAGCTGGGAGGTTGTGAAGCCTCTTCTTATACAGCATGTATTTTAAAGTGATAAACTCATAATCACCGTATAAATGTATAAATCTACTTGCACAGACCACATTGGTCCTGCAAGGGCCCATATAAAAGGAAAAAGCTGGCAAGCACTCAGCATTCCTAGATTGAGTTGAACCACCAATTATCCCACTTAACCCACTTACACTTCACTTAGCTTTGCTTGAATCCTTGTTGACAACCCCAGTAATTTCTCCATCCTACCTCAGCCTGGGCCTCTCATACTAATGAATCCCAACTTTTCGCCCATTTTGATAGCCTCCTGTTCTTGGCGCCCTCCTGTTAAGACACTCCTCACAGGGGATTCTACGAACCCCTTCTCCAGCAGGTCCTGGGAATGCCCCTTGCTGGCATAGTCGTGAAGGCAGCCCTCATCTGTTGGTCGGTCCTGGTGCTATTGAACCTTACTTTGCTTCGAGTTTTCTTTCCAGCTGTAGAGATGGATCCTATCAAGTCACCTGTGGTCTGTCCCAAGGTCTCTGAACAAAGGGAGATGGTTGGATGGAGTTAGATATCTAGTCTATGGGGCAGAGTGCAGTCTGGGTCAGTGGTCCAGAATAAAGGCTCAGGCTGGATCAGCGGTCAGTGCTGGGGGCTGACCAGTGTGGCCCAGGTCAGAACACTGATGTTTCTTTCTGAAAGAAGAGAAATAAGTATTTCAGAACAGCTTTATCAATTACCTACGTGGTTCACATGCTTGCTGCCTTGCCTCCTGTAATACCAGATGAAAAGCCCCAAGGAGGATTGGCCCCTCCATTGTCTCTGGACCCGAAGCCTCTTGCTGTCTCTAGGGCTTCTCACAAACTTCTCCAGTGAACCCCCCTCTCTGGGATGGTAAGTTCCTGCCTCTCCGCCAGATCCTCCACTTTACCACACAAACACTCTTTACGACCCACGTTTTTAAAAGTCTCTCCGCTGACCCTGTGTTCTTACGCCGCTCCATCTCTTTACCCTTTCAAAACTTAGAGAAAGAGTTGCCTGGTCCATCTGCTGTCACTTCCACTCCTCCCACTGTATTCTCACCCTGTTTCCCTTGAGCTTCTGTCCTCAATGTCCACGGAAATGGCTACTGCCAAACTCCCTGTGGTCAACTCAAATGCTCATTCCCTGGCTTATTTCGTTGGCTATCTTGACACATCTGTCTGCTGGTTTCCCTTTACCTCTGTTGTTTTTTATGGAGACTTCACTCTCAGACTTTGAGTGATTCAGTCCCTGGGCTTAGCCCTAGGCTCTCTTCATTTCTCACCCTCTCTCTCTCAGATAGGCCCTGGCTTTAAATGTCATCTCTGTGCAGTGAAGCCCAAAGTCATCCCTCCAGCCCTGATTGCTCCCTTGAGCCCGAGCCTCATTTGTGAGCTGTGTCCTTAACAGCTCCACTTGGCCCCAAGTGGGCAGTGCACACTTAACATGACCTGAACCTGGACCCTTGCTGCCGCCTCTGCACCCCTTCCTCAGCCTTTCCCATCTCGGTGAATGGAGCCTATTGCTCAATACCAAAACCTCAGACTTGTCCTGATGCCTCTCTCCCCATAGTTTTCACATCATGTCTGTCATAAAATGCTGAAAAATACCTCTAATGCTGGGTGAACCAAATCTGCTCCCTTCCCTCCAGTTATATTACAACCACCCTGGTTGGAGCCACCACCATCCTCTCCCCAACTACTGCGCTGGCACCCTTGCTGGGCTCCTGGGATTCCTCACGTGCCACCTCACCAGCCTCCAAACCAAAGGCTGAACCACCTTTTAAAAATGCAAATCAGATCATGTTACTTCTCTTTAAAACCCTCCTAGAGCTTCTCAGGAAAGTTGGAATTTCAGCGCCTTACTTTGACCTACAAAATCTCCACCTGGCTCTTCCCGTCTCTCGAATGTGGTCCCTTAGATTTGTCTTCCTTGTGCCCCACGCATCTGGCTTTGCTGGACTTCTCCATGCTTCTTGAACATGCCAAGGAGGCTTGTTCCTCTGCTGGGCATGCTCTTCCCCAGACCTCCCCTGGCAGGCTCCTTCTGCTCTTTCACCAGACTGTCTCCATCACTTCCATTACTCCATTCATATTGGCTACTTGCTTACTATTTTTCTTCATTAGCTAGAAAGTAAGATCTGTGTGAGCAAAGACCCCACTCACCTTGTTCACCATTCTTTAAGTTGCCCAAGGTCTTAGGGATATGAAGTGAAGGAGCAAGAATTCAAACTCCTGTCTCCCTGGCCTCAGCAAATGCTTTTTCACTCGCTGCGCTGGAGGCCCAAGTCCCCCTCCCCTGCCCCCATCACAGATCCGTGCTAATTACACTGCTATGTAAGACGTTATATGTGGTTTGTTATTCTATATCCAGGAACATGGTCCACAGCCTTCATTACATAAAGCAGCTGTGTGTGTACTTGGGGTCTAAGTGCTGTTTAGTGGTCAGCTCAATGGGGTATTTTGTTTCAAGCACCACATTTCTTTTTTCTTTTAGCATACTTCTATTAAATCCATAAAAAAGGAATGGAGCCTCGCACAGCAAGGGCTAAAGTGAAAGGCAAAAGTCTCCTAAAAGACAATTATCACACCACCCTAATTAGATTAGGAGAGAAAGCCCAGGATGTGCCATATGTGGTGGCAATGTATACCCCAGTGATTGCACGTGTGTGCGTGCATGTGTTCACAAGCCCCACCCAGTCTGGCCCATGCTACCTGTGTTACTTTCTGATTCCATGTCTTCTAATTATCAGCTCAGTGATTTGAATATGCCTTGTGTCCCCCCTGAGACTCAGTTTCTTCATCTTTAAAATGGGGGTAAAATGTTTTTCTCACAGTGTTGCTGAGCCCTTTTAGATAAGCAGTGTGGCACAGAATCGGTCTACAACACCCCACAGTTCCTTCACTTTCTTCACTTGCCAATACTCCCACCATGCTGCCCCCAGTTCCCTCTCAATATCACCCCTCTTCTCCAGGAATAGAACTGTTCTGTTCCTGGCCCCTCCTCTGTCCCTTTGCTTTCATCACTCCCCTTACCTGAGCTGCAAACAAGGCTCTTCCATCTATTTAAATCCTACTTTTCTTTCATAGCTGAACTGAAATCCCCACTCCTGGAAGGTGTCCTTGACACCCTAGTTCTCACTGACTTCTCCTGGACTTTTACAATATTCCATCACTCACCTGGCACTTAAGCATGTTTAAATTAGTCACCTGAGTATTTTTTTGCCTTGTTCAAAAATTGCAAGTAGCCAGCATTCAGGGTTATATTCTTTCATGCCTTATACACTATATAGTACACGTGGGGATGCAATAAGAATTTGTGAGTTAACAGAGTCTGCATATCATTGCGATTATATTACTGATGGCTGCACACATCAGCCTGTGCACACATCTTATCAGGAACCTGACAAGTAGTCACCCTCAACTAGCACACACAATTCATGCAGAGCAAGTTAAGGAGATTATATTCTGTGAATGGCAAGATGAAGGACTTTCTAAGATCATGCATGGCCCTTCCTGGTGCAGTGTTATTTCTGACCTCTCCCCAGTAGTTCTCAAGTTCTAGCTCTCCCACATCGTTGTTTACTGTTCTCCAAATGCACCAAACATAGATCGGTGCCTTTGTACATGCTGTTCCCACTGTCTGAAATGACCTTCCCTTTTTCATCCTCCCTGAAGAAAATCTTGCTCATCCTTAAAGATAAACTCTAACATCACCTTGGAAAAGACCTTTGCTGATCTCCTCTCTTCTAAAGATGATTTTCTCTCGTAAGGTTGCCCCCACAACCTGACTCCCTCCATGTTTCCCAAAGTACACTATTTGTTTGCACTCCATCTCCATCACTGGATTGCAAGGTTCCTGAGGACAAAATCCTGGGTTGATTCTTCTGTGCTCTGTGCTCTCTGAGCGAGCAGGATCATAGGTGGGCTTTTTGTTTTCAGTGGATGTCATCTTGTACATTAGCTATAATCCTTCATTGTGCTTCTATGATCAGGTGTCCATTTCCCCACTTCCACGAGGGAATGCCTTTTCCTGAATCATCTCAGTTCTACCTTTTTTCTGGTTCTTTCCATGACTCTAGACTCTCTTAAGCAGTGCTGATCTCTGCATGGTTCTGGAATCTGCTTCCCTTCTCCCCCACCCACTAAGGCAATCATGTCTTTCAGTCTTCAAGGATTAAGTTCCAACCAGCTAAGGTTGGTGTGGAGACAGAGCCTGGGGTGGGTGGGCATTGGGCACAACAGGGATGGGAGTTGGAGCAGGAAGTCAGGCCAGGCTGGTTCTGCTTGAAAACACCAGTGTGGCCAGGCAGGGGCTGCCTAAGAGGGTAGCCCTCAGGTCCAGAGCAAAGTTTCCCCTTTGTGTTGGCTGAGCAGGGAAGCCCCTCGCCTCCTTCCCTGAAAGCTGCCCTTCCGCAGCACCTAGGGCTCCTGGATCTGCTCAAGAGGCACACTTTATTGCTTTAGTTATTCTACAAGGCTTCTGTTCCTGCCTGGGCTGTGACAACCCACAGATTGCTGGTACCCATCTGATTGAACAACTCAATTAAAATGCAATAAAAAGAAAGTGGGCTGGATGTGCCCCTAGGAGAGGAGACAGCACCTGAGTCCACTGCCTGCTTCCTGAGTCCTGTGCCCTTTCTTATCCTCCCTGAAGGCCCCTGGGCAGGCATGGCCAGGGAACTCTGAACTCCGGTGTTGGACACAGAAGACCCTTAAAAGTTATCTGTTCCATGAGCTTGTTCATACTGAGGAGAGGAAAACAGGTCCATGGAGGACAACTGAACTACCCAAGGTGAGGGAGAGACTAGCAGCATACGTTAGCAGAGGCATGATGGCTCTCTAGGACTTTGGGACCAGGGCTTCTGGGACTAGACCAGGGGAGAGAAACATTGTTGGAAAACACTGAGACCTTTGTTCTTGAGGAGCACCTTCTCCTGGGACCCCAAACTTGTTTGTTCTTTGTATTTTGGTAACAGCTTTATGGAAATATAATTCACATACCATACAATCCACCCACTCAAAGTGTACAATTTAATGGTTTTTAGTATATTCACAGAGTTGTGCAACCAGCACCACAGCCAATTCTGGAACGTTTTCATTACTCCCCAAAGAAACCCTGAATCTTTTAGCCATGCCCTCCTATTTTCCCCATTCCTCCTAGCTCTAAGCAACCACGAATCTACTCTCTGCCTCTCTTTGTCAATGCCAGACATTTTGTATAAATTGAATCATATTATATATGTCCCTTTGTGATTAGCTTCTTTTAGTTAGCATAATATTTTCAAGTCTGATCCATATTGTCCATGTTAATAGTACTTCATTCTTTTTTACAAAAAATGCCCCATCATAAGAATATATTACATTTTGTATATCCATTCATTCGTTAATAGGTATTTGGGTTGTTTATCCCTTTTAGCTATTTTAAACAATGCTATTACCAACATTTGTGTACAAATTTTTGTGTGGACATATGTTTCCAATTCTCTTGGATATGTACCTAGGAGTTAAAAAACCTGTTTGTTCTTGCATGTCATTAACAATATCATAACAATACTGGTGTAGATCCTAAAGCATCACTGCACACATTGACTGAGAAAAACAGTGAGGACAGGAAGCTGGGTGGAGAAAGAGAAGCACAGAGAGGTCAAGTGTTCTGACCCTGGTAACACAGCCATAGAATAGGACCATGAAGGAAGAAGCCATAGCTGGCACTCATGACAATTAGTCAATGAAATTTTTATATTTTAGGAAAAAAGCCCTGGAACATTTAAAAAATCACACACACATATTCACACGCACCATCACTTTAATGATATGAATTGGTTTTTAACTTGATCAGATTCTTTCTTATCTACTACAGGCCTTGCGTCTTCTAATTCCCCATGAAGGCCATCACACTTCCCCTCCATGAAATTAATTCTTGTCCACTTCCCAACTGTTTACCTCATCCTTACCAAGCAGAGCAGGGAGGCTTTTGTAGGGAGTTTTTGAGCCTCGTGGAGTGGGGCTCTTTAAAGGACTTCTCTTTTGTCACAGCTGTAGTTCTCACAGCTCTGTGTGAGTGAAACATGGAGCCACACTGTTCATTCACACGGTCTGGGCACTCTGGCCTGCTCCATGTCTGTCACCAGATGGGGCCATGGCTAAGAGACTGAGGCTGCTCTGCACACCTAGTAGGCTGAACCACATGAAATTGCCAACATTCATTATTTTTGACTTACAAAAATGGCAATCTAATGTGGTTCAACTGACCAGTCTCTGATGCCCCCCCCCTCCTCTCCTTCTATGTGCCTCCCAAAAAGCCACATCTTACGCTCTGGAGGCCTTTCTTCCCCTCCAGCCCAGTTGGTATTCCTTGCAGAACCCTCTAGAGCATCCACTCTCCAGCTGCTCAATCTGGAGCCTGCAGACATAAATGGCAGTAGTGGAAAAGCCCTGGGCTAGGAGTCAGGACCCTTCCCACTCATTGCCTGTCTCCCCACTGGTCTCTCTGCCCTCAACTTGCCCCTCCAATCCATGCCTCCTAATAGCACAGACTGGCTCCAGCCACACTCCACTTCAAATCTTGCAATGACCCCCAATAACTGAGCACGTAAAAAGTGCAAACTCTGCAGCCTGGCCAGAAGTCACAACTTCAGCTCCTGCCACTGGCTTTTTGCTCCAGTCATGCCTGACTGCTTGCAGTCCTCTGCAGGCACCTGTGCTCTCCCACCTTTACTCCTTGGCACCCGCTCTTCCTCCACTCGGAAGACTTTCTGCAGGTCCTTCACTCAGCCATCTGCGACTTATCCTTCAAAACCACTCCTAGGAGCATTCCCTGAGCCTCTGAGATGTGTTAGGAGATCTTCCTCTCTGGTTCCACTTTTCTGTGCTTCTCTCTCTTCCAGGACTCGTCATCTGATTTGAATAGCCTCTTTGCATGTCTGTTCCTGTCTGTCTCCCTCTCTAGATTGTGGGCTCCTGATCATTCTCCCCATTTCATACTTCAGTCTCTGTTGTCAGGATAGAAAGAATCAGTAAACTGTCATTTAACAGAACTAAGCAGGAGTGTCTGTGACACAGTTTCCCTATTTGCTGAGAATGGTCCAGAAGTTTGGGCTGTATCCCTTGGCTTTCCCTAAGTTTCATTTGCCCCTCAGAAACAGAAGGAGGTTGGTTTCAAGGGCTCTTTCAATTCTATGGTGTAAGGTTCTTGAATATGAACCTTCACTTTCCAAGGCTGTTCATAGGGACCCTTTGTGGTTCCAAGGAAATTGATGGGAGAAGATGGTCTAAATGGAAGGTTCCATATGTGAGTAAGATCATTTTGTTGTTCTGTTTTAATTCTACTAGTGTTTGCAGGTCACCTATGAAGCTCAGGCCAGTATTAGTCAGGAAAAGTGATAAAAAGTTGTAAAAACCAGGATTTCTTTTGAGTGCTGTCCTTCCACCCAGTCAGGTAGTGCCTACCCACTTCTGCTCCTCTCGCTGTTCACGCCCGCCAGGATCTGTGCCTGAGATGAGTTAGACGATGCCGGTCCTTTTCCTCAAATTTGCAGCCGGTCCCTGTCCATCGCCTAGCAGAGATTGGTGGAGCGGGGCCGCAGCCGGGCGCCCTCTGGCGGCGGCTCGCGGAACCTACGGCCCTGCGGACCCCGGGCCAGGGGAAGGGGGAGGCATGGGGGGAGGAGGCACGGGCAGGGGAGGAGAGGAAAAAGTTGCGCTGGGATGTTTGGAAAGTTGGGAAGTGGCTGCTGCGGGCTTTGCCTCCCTCCGCGCGTGTGTGAGGGAGCGAGCGAGAGAGCTGGAGAGGAGCGAGCGAGCGCCTGCCATGCCCGTCAGACCCCGCCTCGCCGCGCCCGGGCGCGGAGCTCGCCCCGATTCCCTGCGGCCCGGCCCGGCCCGGCGCGGCCCCGGCCCCCCGCCCCCCGCGCCGGGTCCTCCCCTCCCCCCGCCTCGGCGGCCCCAGCCCCCCGCCCGGCCCGGCTCCGCGCTACTCTCCCGCCCTCCTCTCTCCCTCCCTCCCGGCCGCGGAGCAGCATGGCGGAGCCCGGGCAGCGGCCGCGCGGCCGCCCGCCGCCCCTCTGAGCCGGGCTCAGGGGCAGCTGGGCGCCGCAGACCCGACCCCCGCCCCCGCCGCGCCCGCCGCCGCACTTGTCCTACTGCGCGCCCCCTGGAGCGCCGCGCACCCCTGGGACCCTTGCGCGTCCGGGTCCCCAGCATAAACCCGGGTGCCTCGCGCGCCCCGGGAGCCCGGTACTGCCCGGGGAGCCCCGCGCGCGCCTGGACCGAGACGCAGCTCCAGGACCTCCGCTCGCCCCCAAATCTTCGCGCGCTCTCAGAACCCCGGTGCTCGGCCCGCGGGGCCGAGCGCCTTGGTGAGGGGGGCCCCGCCCCAAAGGGTCCCCCTCTTGCAACAGACGGAGCCCCGCCCCAGAGGGACCCCCAGGTCCAGCAGGGACGTCCAGCCACGCCCCAGAGGGCTCCCAGCATCCCGCGGCTGGAGCCCCGCGCTCCAGAGGAACCTCCGTGCCCAGCTGGGGGCTCCCCGCCCGGCCGAGGGGGCGCCGCCCAGGAGGGTCCCCGCTTCCCGCGGGTCCCGGCAGGATGCACGCCGCCCTGGCGGGACCGCTGCTCGCCGCTCTCCTCGCCACAGCCCGCGCCCGCCCGCAGCCTCCGGACGGAGGACAGTGCCGGCCGCCTGGATCGGTGAGCCAGCGCCTGCCCGGCCGGCCGCTCTCCCGGCCGCCCGGGCACTCCAGCCCCGTGGGGACGTTGGTTTTGGGGTCCTGCTTTCCGCACCCACCTCAGCCCACCCACTCCACCTCGGCCCGCTGGGCGCTGCCGCGGGCACCCTTCCCTGGGTTCTGCCGCCCGGGCTCCAGCTCCGTGCCGGGAGCCCAGCCGGGGCGCTCCCTCTCCAGCAGCTTCACACGCTGACGCTCTCGGGCTCTCCTCGACTTTCGGTCCTGCTTGGACGTTGCCTCGCCCTGCTCCTTTTGACTCACTTCTTTCTTAATTTTATCCTGTCTTTCCCGTCTGCTTCCTCTCTGCCCACTTCTGACTCTGTTCCTAACCTTCCTTGCCCTTGTTTCCTGGGTTCCCTCAGACCCTGCCTCTCATGCCCACACCGCCCCCTCATAGGCTTCCCTCTCAGCCCTGCCCTCCCGCTCTGACCTAAGGCAAACTTTCTCCCTGGTTCCCACTTCTCTCTCAGCCTCACCAGCCCAGGCCCTAGCACACACTGTCCTAAGGGACCCCATTTCACAAAAAGGGGGAAGATTTCAAAGGAGAGAAAAAGAAAGTGCCAAGACATGCTGGCCCCATATTTCCTTGGGGGTTCAGTAATTACTGGTTTTTCTAATTTTCCTTCTGAACTAAGGAATGCCTTGATTTCCCTCAGTATCCCTCTCTCAAAGTGTAAATTAATGCATTGAAAATAATGCTGAATTGAAGGCCAGGGACAAGGAAAGGTTTTGTAGGTTCCTCACTCCAGTTAGCAGAGAGTTAGTTGACCTTGGACAAGGTGCACCTCCAGTGCCCTGACTTACTTGAAACGGGGAGCTTAGTGGCTGACTGGACACACAGAGATAGTCTATCTTCAATATGCTGGGAGTCACAATTTGGGATTTTTAGAAAACTAAGTTACTGTTCTCTTCACCTACCTGACACATACTTTGCATTTGTGCTGGAATCTGGCAAAAAAAATGTTAATGAGTTGACCTAAAGCTTGCAAGTGGTCAGTCTAGGGTTTTTTCTGGATGGAAAATGACTTTGCTGGAGAGAAATGACAGTCCCTGTCTCATGCTCCTTAACCCCTGGCCCTAAACTGGTTGTGGAGAAATGACCCCTGCCTCCAAGCTCCTCCTTCACCCCCACACATGTACAACCCTTGGCAGAGCTTTGGTCATAGACGATGACAGAGAACTATGGTTGGAGACCAGGGATACCTTTTTAGGGCAGGAGCCTGGAAAGTACCCAGAATATATCTATTTCTTGGTACTAATTCTGTGGAATCTTCCTTTCCCAAACCAGGGCCTTGAGACTTTACTTAGCCTGCAGGTTTCAAAGCACTTTCTCATCTGTGGTTTCAGCTGCTCAAGCAGAGTAGCTGACACCCCAGATCTGCCCTCCAAAAAGAAAACTGTATATACCTTGATGAATGGGAAGTAGCTGTTTAAATAGGTGTGCTATTTTTAATAGGTGCTCTGCTTTCAAAGTGCTCTTGGCATGTATCTTATAATGGTTGAATTTAAAAGTTATATGACTTCCTCCCTTCTTGCCAGAGCAGGACTGTTGGTCCCCCTCTCCCCACCCTCCACACGAAATGCCACTGGTGAAGGTTTGGCTTGGCCAAGCATGAATATTCTCAGGTGGTGTGGCAGTCTTGGCATGCACAGGGAAAGCTAATCATAACGAGAGCTTCCTTTAGTGCCTGCTTCCTCTGTGCCTGGCACTGCTCGTAGGGCTCATGTATATATATTGTCTTTTCATCCTCTCAACAACTCCTGAGGTGGCTGTTCTCACTCCGGCCTCCATTTTACAGATGGGGAAACTGAGTCTGGGAAGTGAAACAGTGTGCTTAAGATCATACAACTAAGACAGGGCAAAGTCAGGATCTGAGTGTGGGTCTTTCAGCTTTCAAAGCTCTTGCTCTTTCCCCTGGCCTTATGTAGGTCTCTGGCTTCCACTCTCAGCTCCGCCTGACCCTCTGTGAGCTAACCCCTGTTTACGCACTGCCTTCAGCTTTCCTTCTCCTGTCTCCCTGCAGCAGAGGGACCTGAACTCCTTCCTGTGGACTATTAGGCGCGACCCCCCGGCCTACCTGTTTGGCACCATCCACGTCCCCTATACCCGTGTCTGGGACTTCATCCCAGACAACTCCAAGGCAGCCTTCCAGGCCAGCGCCCGCGTCTACTTTGAGCTGGACCTGACGGACCCCTACACTATCTCAGCGCTGGCCAGCTGCCAGCTGCTGCCACATGGGGAGAACCTGCAGGACGTTCTGCCCAGAGAGCTCTACTGGCGTCTGAAGCGCCACCTAGACTACGTGAAGCTGATGATGCCCTCGTGGATGACGCCTGCACAGCGGGGCAAAGGGCTCTATGCCGACTACCTATTCAACGCCATTGCAGGCAACTGGGAGCGCAAGAGGCCCGTGTGGGTGATGCTTATGGTAAACTCACTCACGGAGACAGACGTACGTTCCCGAGGCGTGCCGGTGCTTGACCTCTACCTGGCCCAGCAGGCTGAGAAGATGAAGAAGAGCACCGGTGCTGTGGAGCAGGTGGAGGAGCAGTGCCATCCACTCAATGGGCTCAACTTCTCCCAGGTAGGCACGTGGCACCCCAGACTGCAGAGCAGGGCAGCCTCTGTGCGCCTTTGTCCTCTTCTCTGATCGTCTTCCTCTTCCTGCAGCCAGAGCCCTGTCCTCCCAAGGGGAGAAGGTCATCTGGGCTCTGAGCCTGCTTTTGTGGTGGTATGAGGGTAAACTGGTATGTGCTCAGATTGGAGGTAAGCATTTGGGTGTTTGCTTCTGTGTCTGTGGTGTTACCTATTGGGGATATTCATTCCCCACCTGCTGTGCTTGCCTGAGCAGAAAGAATTTCTGTGGGAGCATCAGAAGGATGGAAAACGAAAAGAGGGTTGCAAGTTTGTGTCTGGCTTTCCTGAGGCCCTTGGGTCTCAAGAGCAGGAGGCTGTCTATGGGCACATCCAAGCAGCAGCATGTATGTACAGTACACACACAGAGGGGGACATGGTTCCTGGGGTCGAGGTAAGGGCCAGGGAGGCAGAGTGGACCTGATTTTATGTAGCTCTAGCTTGCTGTTTGAGGTTAAGCACTGCTGAATTTCCCGGGCCTTTGCAAAGCTCTGGGCGACCCTTGGACTGCCTCCCTAGACTGGGAGAAAGTCAGCAAAGATAGTTTTGGAGTTAATAATTTCAGAGAAATGTATTCACTTAAAGGTTGACAGCTCTGATTTCTGAACCTCAGGGGTCGGGGCAGGTAGAGGAGAGGAGCTTAGGAGGTTTAAAGTCTCTGGCTGCCAGGACCTGACCCAGCAAAATGTCATTAAAAACCCTGTCACCGTGGGCAGAGGTCGCTCTCATCTCACCGGCCCCAAACTCAGCTCTGAGGCCGTGGGAACAATGAGTTCACATCTGTGTCTTGAGAACAGGCTGTCAATCCCAGGACAGGGGCTCCTCACCAGGGTTGATGGCTCCTGCAAGGAGGACCCAAGACAGGGCTTGGACCCATGCTCTGAGTGAAGTGTGGCCCCTGAGCCATGCTACTCTGTTAAGAAGACAGCCCCCCATAAATCGGCCCAGCTAAAAATTCTACCTCTAGGACCAGACCTGTTTGCTGTGCCCAATATGTTGCAAGCTCTTCACCAGGGAAACCACAGCAGAAACTGATCCCCCCTTCCGAGATCTCTGGCCTTTGTTTTTCCAGGAGAAATGCAATATTGTCCCAGGGGAGGTAAGAAGCCAGATTGATTTGCCCGCCAAATGAAAGGCGGGTTTGTCGGTTCTCCTGCTGGCTCTCCCATAATTGTGGAGTCCTTACCCAGAGGGCCCTGGTGGCAGGAATATTGGGGCAGTTAGTCACGCCCCGCAGGGTTCTGACTATGCCTGACTCCTTCTCCACAGGGGAAAATCCTGTGCATTCTCTGGCCCCGCGCTGATTCCTCTGAACATACCGGCTTTCTCCCTCTGAAGTGACTTTTCCCTTGCCAGCCTGTGAGCTGATATTATCTGTGTCGGGCTCCCCAGCGCTCACCGCCCATCTCATTTTGGAGGCAGGTTTGTGGGAGGCCTCTCCTTCAGAAGCCTTCTGTCTGGCCCCAATATCTCTTTTAGGCTTAGGAGGTGGGGTCCCACCATTACTCTCAACACCCTCTTTGTACCAATCACAGAGGAATCCGGTGAGAGCTGAAGGGAGCACACAGACCCTCTGGTTGAACAGCCCCTGGCTTTAATCTGTCTCTCTTAAAACAACAAAACTATCTTTCTTCGGGGTCTGGATACACGGCTGTTCAACCAAATGACGGCTTTGGTAGGTTGAAAACATTTGCCGGCAAGTGTGCGAGGTTATTTTTTAGGAAAAGTTCCTGAGAGCAATTCATCGCCTGGAGAGGAGCCCGCTGACAGTCTCCAAAGCCCATGTTTGAAGATCAAACGGACTCAAATCTCTGACTGCGAAATGCACCCACCCCATCACCAAAGTGGGCCCACTCTTAAAACTGTTCTTGGGTCCAGCTCCTTGAGAGGGCTGCATGCAGGAAGCAGGTCCAGAACAAAAGAAAGCAGGCCTCCTCTTGGTTCCCTAATCTACACACCCTTCACCACCTGCCAGAGGGTCCAACCTCTCCAATTTGTCCTGTTATCATTTTGGAGTGAGGTGATGAAATCTCTCCCCCATCCCTGTGGGCAGCCATGAGCTAACTGGGAAGGGAGGGATTCCAGAACCTGGTGGATGGGGTTGCTAGGGATCCCCAACCCCAAAGTCAGAAATGCAGCAGCTTTCTCAGTAAAATTGTATGCACGCGTGCACAGTTTGATATGAACATCTGTGATGCATTATTGTACCAAAATATCTGTTAAGTGCATCAGATTTTTATTTTTTCTTTCCTCTCAGCATTACTTTTATTGCAAAATATTTGGGGGGTGGGCAATAAGAGAAGAAGGAGGTAAAAAGAAGCCTTAAAAGAGAGTGACTTTTTGTTAAGGCCTGAAATTTTAGTTTTAATTTTAGTATTTCTCAATTTTTTAATTTTCTTCTTGGGCAGAAATACCACAGTTTTCCTGGCTAAGTAGAGAAAGAAAGCTTAAATTTTGAGACTCCTTGGACTGGAGGAACCACTGAAAAAGTTTCTTTTACCTTTGCACAGCTTGGAAAATCAGGTTTATTGGCCCCAGTGTCTTATTTCAATATAAACTGAGGGTGCTAAACCTAACATCAGCATGAGTTTCCTGTGTGACCTTGAGCAAGTCAGTTTCCCTCTCTGGGCTTTGTTTTTCCCATCTGTGAAATGAGATACCAGCATTAGATCATCACTCAAGCCCCTTCCAACTCTGACATTGCATGGGATGGTTCTAATCAATTCCACGTGCCTGGCACCCTGCAGGAGGCACCACATTTTTTTCCATTTTGTTGGATTCTCACAATCTTATGGCTTTCTAAGGTGGGCGCTCAGAAAGGTTGGATGACTTGCCCAAAGTCACATGGCTACTAAGGAACAGAGCCAGTCTGCCTGACTCTAAATGAAGGATGTGCCCTTCCTGCTGCCTCATGCTGACTAGGTATTTTGTTCTGCTGCCATTCCTCCTTTAGTCCTTCCTTCTGTTTCTTTCCCCCCTTAACTTTTCACTTCTTGGAGGATTTACACTTGCAGAAAAAGTATTTTCTTTGGCTATGGACTGGAGTGGAGATGATGAAGGCCCTGGTGTGTTCAGATAGCAGCACCATGGCTTAGAGTGAGAAGATATGTTTTCAGGTTTCAGTCCCAACTCTGGCTCAAAAGCCAATGACTCATATATAACTTGGTGTTTTTCCACCTATCAGGTGGGGCAGTAGTGACCAGCCTTTCACAATTGAGCTGGTTTTGTTATCACATGAGAAGACACTGCCTGTGGGAGGTTGCAGAGAGGGTGAATGACTACCTAGAAGTAGGTCTTGTGCTGCGACAAGAGTCTGTGCCAGCTCCAGGACAGGGACAGAGGAAGGCTGCATGGGAAGCCTCTTCTCTGTCCTATTGGTACTTCTGCCAGCAGCCATGTCCATTGTCCATCACCAGCCTGGGCCTACTGGGGAAATAAGGGGGCCCCCTTGGGGGCCTGGGGATGTCTGAACCTTGAGTCCAGATCTTGTGACAATCTTGGGACCTGTGGATTTTAATCAGCTCCGTCAGCTACCTCCAGGGACTGGTACAGGCTGCCACTAACTCCCTGGGTTGGTCAGGACGCCTCCTTCTCCCTGTAGGGAGTCTCAGTCCTCCCCTACACAGCCTGGCAGGGGCACTGAATGAGAAGACCTCTAAGTTAGGAGGATCTCCAAGGCATAATAAGAGAACAAGGACCCTGCCATTCTGTACTTCGCCGTGTTTTAACAAACATGCCAACATTATCCATCCAATGTTTGTAGAGCCTGAACACTCAAGCATGGCTGTCAAAGGTGTCCAGAATGTTTGTAAAATTCTACGTCCCCTCTCTAGGGAGTTGAAAGCCACAAAATCATCATTTATTGAGCACCTCTGTGTAAGGTGCTGCAGTAGACCTCGTAAGACTGTCAACTCTAATCCTCACAGAGATGCTTGGGCGGGCTGCTCTTGATACGTAATTGCTCGAAAGCCTGCTGGTTCCAGTGGGGGATCCTGCTGCCTCTCACTGCCAGTCTGCAGAGTGGAGAGACCCCAGGCTGTCACGACAGAGTCCACTGGATGCCCACCCAGCCTGGGAGCCTTTCCTTCCTTAGGAGTCCTCTCCCTCACTCACCGGGCCACAGCACTTACTGTGTGGGGCCAGTGCAATGCTGGGGGCAGAGGCCTGGCAACCACAGTTTTCACCTGCAGAGAGTTCATTGCCTATCAAGAAAGAGCAGGTATTACTGGTCCTGTTTTACAGCTGTGGAAACAGAGGCACAGAGGGCCTATGCATTTGTCTCTCCTATATCCTGGATCTCCGCACTTTACATCAACACCGTATTCCACCTTGCTCTTCCTATTGTACACTGCCATCTTTCACGACTATCTTATTTCCCATCCTCCAAGAACAGCCATCGTGGAGTCTTCCTGCCCTTTCTGAGCCTCCTTGGAAGCCACAGCACTACGCCCTCCTAGTGAAGGGACCAGTTACCTCCCCCAAGGCAGTTAAGCACCCCACAAAGATCGCAGACCATGCTGAGTCCCCTTCAACCCTGAAGTCACCCAGCGAGTGAGAGCTCCCCGTCAGTGCTGGAGCAATACACAGGCTGGCCCCATCTGCTCCGTGTAACTCCAGATAGTGGGCTAGGAAACAGGCTTCTTCCGGCCCCACCTCCACCCTGTGCTTCTGCCGCCTGCCTGCCACACCCGCTGTGTCTCCCACTCTGAGCCCTGTGGTTGGGAGCTGTTCAGCAAATGTGTGTCACATGGTGTGGCAGTCCCTCAGGGGACCCTCTGAGCACTGACTCCTAGCATGTGTGTTCTCAGATTCTTTCTGTGCCTGGAGAGCTGTTTGCAAAGAGCCCCTGCTGGCACAGCTGTCTCTGTCCACTCTGTCTGATCTAGTTAGCTCAGACTTTAACATTTAATATATCATCCTGACATATGGGAGATGAAAGACTCAGAAGCA